TAAAGTAACAACAAATATCCATTAAATCTATAAGTAACAAATACATATTAATTATTACTCAAATTATTATTTCAGTCGTTCTTAATGTATCAAGCGTCTATATGCAGAGAAAAGCCCTAAAACTATGGTTTTTATCATTAAATGAAGATATAACCTAGAGATGCTTTGCGGCATAACCAGGTTTCATTCGCCCGGGCCCCTGGGCAGTACCCCCCCCCCTGTCGGCAGGCCTGATAAAATCCCATATAATGTATTTAATTCAAAAACTTTTAAAACTATAATTAACAAAATTTAAAATGTTCGTTGTTTCTTTAGTAAAGTAGATAGTAAACCTAATTATTTCAACATTGGGAATTAGCTGGCGTATCCGTTCAACGCACGGGAGGGGGTGACATGGGGTAGTCAGGTTCGAACGCTAATATCCCACTGTTATTCCCCGAGGAGCTCTAAGAGTATATACTAGGTTTGGTGATAATTGGTCCAGTGATTCGCCAGTTATACACACACACACGCACATGCAGACTTTTGATAAAAATGGTTTAGATAAAATTTACTAACTTTGGGTTAAAAAGACATATTCGGGATCTATTTGTAACCAACAAAATCTTTAAACATTTGGGAACTACTAAGTAACCGTAGATGAATGTGACTTTTAGGTATAGCTTCTGAACGTCGTTTGTATTTCCAATTGTCACAATTTGTTGCAATTAATTACGTGCACAGAAACGCATCCCGGACAGAGGTAATTTCTGATGTACTGATGGACATGATACTGGGCTGTTTTAAGAAATTAAAAATATACTTTATCTCTTGGAAACAAAAGGGCAAAAGGTTTATATTCAGTGAAATGAACACGCTTTATCTCTTATTCGCTTCTACTAGCATCTGTTACTAGGACACACAGCATCTGTTACTATGATACACTGCATCTGTTACTATGATACACTGCATCTGTTATAAGGACACACAGCATCTGTTATTATGATACACTGCATCTGTTATTAGGACACACAGCATCTGTTACTATGATACACTGCATCTGTTACTATGATACACTGCATCTGTTATTAGGACACACAGCATCTGTTATTAGGACACACAGCATCTGTTATTAGGACACACAGCATCTGTTACTATGATACATTGCATCTGTTATTAGGACACACAGCATCTGTTACTATGATACATTGCATCTGTTATTAGGACACACAGCATCTGTTACTATGATACATTGCTTCTGTTACTAAGACACACAGCATCTGTTACTATGATACATTGCATCTGTTATTAGGACACACAGCATCTGTTACTATGATATACTGCATCTGTTACTATGATACACTGCATATGTTACTAGGGCACACAGCATCTGTTACTATGATATACTGCATCTGTTACTATGATACACTGCATATGTTACTAGGGCACACAGCATCTGTTACTATGATACATTGCATCTGTTACTAGGATACGCAGCATCAATTACTAAGGTATATTGCATCTGTTATTAGGACACACAGCATCTGTTACTATGATACATTGCATCTGTTACTAGGATACGCAGCATCAATTACTAAGGTATATTGCATCTGTTATTAGGACACACAGCATCTGTTACTATGATACACTGCATCTGTTATTAGGACACACAGCATCTGTTACTATGATATACTGCATCTGTTATTAGGACACACAGCATCTGTTACTATGACACACAGCATCTGTTATTAGGACACACAACATCTGTTACTATGATACACTGCATATGTTACTAGGGCACACAGCATCTGTTACTATGATACATTGCATCTGTTACTAGGATACGCAGCATCAATTACTAAGGTATATTGCATCTGTTACTAGGACACACAGCATCTGTTACTATGATACATTGCATCTGTTATTAGGACACACAGCATCTGTTACTATGATACACTGCATATGTTACTAGGGCACACAGCATCTGTTACTATGATACATTGCATCTGTTACTAGGATACGCAGCATCTGTTACTATGATACATTGCATCTGTTATTAGGACACACAGCATCTGTTACTATGATACACTGCATTTGTTACTAGGGCACACAGCATCTGTTACTACGAAACACTGTTTGCGTTGCTATGATACATCGCTTCTCTGACATTGTTTCTAAAACTTTCTACTTACCGACTGAATTAGGTTGGTATACTGAGCTATACTCAGATTTGCTTCAATAAGGGATCGTCCATTATTATAGACAGCACAAATAAGTAGGCCTAATGAGAACATGTCGCTTAGGGGAGAGCAGCTAGATGTTGCCTGAACTTCCGGAGCAGTGTAGTCCAAATCAGGTTGACCCATTTTCGGAACTTTGGAGGTGAAGGATTGACAAGGCACAGGACTCTGTTGAAAGAAAACAATATTTAATTTCTGTAGTGCACGTTGGTGTATAAAAGACATTTTAATGCTAGTAATAAACTAGCTTATAACACCAAGTTTGTTATTTTTCTTTAATTGGGCACTCAATTTGACAGCTTTTTCTTTTTTTGAAGCTTTATACTGTCAACTACAGTTTGTGTTTTGATGGAACGCTCCTGAAGAAGCTATAAAGCGAAACGGTGAGTGTGCAATTATAGAAAAATAACAAATCTATTGTTATAAGGTCATTTATTTCTAGTGTTAAAAGGCATAATATTGTTGTCAGAGTTACTTCGATGTTTCAGGTCATTCAAGTATTTGTCAAACCATAATGTAGTTGTCAGAGTTAGTCTGATATTTTAGGCCATTCAGAAATCTGCCACTGCAAACCTGATTGAAGTGCATGCTAGAAGTATAATATAAGTTTGGTTTTAATCATATCTTTAAACGGAAAGTTTTCTGTTTGTGTTACACTTGTTAGTAGCAAGTAGAATTGGTTGGTGTTGACGTTATGTTAGAAAACAGGATTCTAAAAACAAAATGCCAGCCGTTGCCTAGTGGTTAACCTTCTAGGCTGTGAGCTGAAGTCTGTGGTTCAAGCCGTTGCCTAGAGGTTAACCTTCTTGGCTGTGAACTGAAGTCTGAGTTTCGAGCTGTGATGCTGTTAAACACTTTCCGCACTTTTAGCTGTGAATGCGTTGTGAAAGTAAAAGTCAATACCATTATTCAGTTCATAGAGCCACAAAAAGCCCTTGTTGTGGTAAGTGCATCTAAATAGCTGTCTCTCCCTTAGTCAGTAGTTCAAAATTAGGGACAGCTATGCCTCACCCTAGTGTTCCTGTACGAAGCAAGTTAGTCCATGTTTTAAATAAATCGTCTTTTAACCTTGAAAATTGGTTATTTACCACAACAAAAAAGGATTCTTGTAACGCGCATGTCAATAATAAATAAATGATCATTGGTACGTCTAAGAATTATTATGTAACTTTAATAGTTCCTATTGCTTTATTTCATACAAAATAATAGTACATGTAAGAAAATATATTTTCTGTGAAATTATAGTTGGCTTACTTTTAGGTTAACCTCAGGGTCAATGGTAAATTTACAGACTTGCAGGGCTAAAATTCGGGGTTCGATTTCCCCATGGTGGACAGAGGGCATATAGCCCATTCAGTAGTTTTGGGGTTAAACAACAACAATCTCTCTTTGAGTGTTACGTTTTTAGTAGAGTTCTGTTACGAATAGTCATGCCAAAATAGTTCAGATTCTATAATGTTGTTAATATACAATAGTTCAACTTCTATATTACTGTTAAGATACAAATAGTTCAACTTCTATATTGTTGTTAAGATACAAATAGTTCAACTTCTATATTGTTGTTAAGATACAATAGTTCATCTTCTATATTGTTGTTAAGATACAAATAGTTGAACTTCT